TTTAAAAGGAAATAAAAGAATGGAATTAAGAATCAAGAAAATCAAAAGCCTTGTTATAAAAAACATTAAAACGAGATCTAAAAAGTAAGATGTCAAAGGTTCCAGCTTATCTTGCGTGCTTTTTGCCATCGTCTTTTTCTTCCTATTTCAAAATAGATCCTTTGGTTTTATTTGCGGGTGGCTACAACAAGAAACCGTGTGAAAAACTCAAAATACAAAAATATCTCTAGTGCCATTTTTCACGGCTTAATTCAATTTTTGATCCATTAATTATTAATTTAATTTCATTATAATTTAGAAAGTTTATTTTTTTTTGTAAATGATTTATATATTTTGGAAAATATTTCAAAATAGTATAAACAATTTTGTTAGATTTAACAAAAAAAAAGAGTAGTACTTTAAATTTTGAAAAAATAATATTATAATCTTAATAAAATGTGTGGATTTAAAGAATATTTTATAAAAATAGATTAATTAGAATTTATAATAAACTTAAACAATTAACTCAATTCAAATAGAGAAACTTAACAAGTTTAGAATAAAAAATTTTAAGAATAAATTTATTTTATAAGACAAATTATAAGGTAGATTGTATGTAGTATGTTCTGTAAAATTATTTAAATTTTTTTAAAAAATAATAAAAATAAAATTAAGGACATTTAAATAATCTTACAAGATAAACTGCATAAAATTAGCTCTATAAAATAATTTTTTGAAAAACATATGTAGTAAAATAAAAATAAAAATTATTTTTACGGTGAATATAAATCTAAAAACGGAAAGATCAAAATAATATAATTATAGAACTAAATATTTTTTTATTTTAAGAAGATTTCGTTGAAATAGATACTTTTGTTAAAAATGATAAATTAAATAAAATTAAAATAAATAAGAAAGATAATAAAAAAAATTAAAAAAATTTATAAATAATAAATAAAATTAAAAAAAAAATAAAAATTAATAAATGATTTATTAAATTAATCCATTTTTTACTTCCATGTTATGAAACGCGACAGCCTCTTCCTGCTAAAGTCTATTTCCATTATTAGTCCTTTGAAAATTCAAAGTCAGCATTTTTTACTTCCATATTATGAAACGCGACAGTCTCTTCCTGCCAAAGCTATTTCCATTATTAGTCGCGACAGTCTCTTACTGCTAAAGTCTATTTCCATTATTAGTCGCGACAGTCTCTTACTGCTAAAGTCTATTTCCATT